TTCTGGCACTAAGCACATTGACTCACCTAAGAATTGGTTGTGGTTCATTACCGCTCAAGTGATCTGAACAGCATGAAACTAGAATGACTTTAAGGGCTTGTCTACACATGAAACTATTCAGGACAGCTCTTCCTGAATAACTCTATGTGTGAATGTTTTTATTCTGCAATATTAGTTTTAATGTATTTTTTGAATTACTATAAAGCTAGGATCCCTGGGCATGGACCAGGACCCCATTGTTCTGATGCTGTATAAACACAGAATAAAAAGACTGTCTATGCCCCCAGGAGCTTATAAAATCTAAGAGTCAACTGGGGAGTACAAGGAAGCAGTGAGACAATATTGGTGAACATGATAGGCAGTGCTCTCTCCACACGTAGTCAGTCAGTAATGGCTCCATTTGTAGACAAACCCGAACATTATTCAAGTCCTTAATGTTGAAAATGGAGGGGGGGGGAACCATTTAATTAATTACATTGAAAGCTCTTTACATTTTTTTCATTTCAAAACAAAACCAAAGTGCATTGCAATAAAAAAGAAGAAAGGGCAAGATCCAGTGAATCTACAAAGGAATGTCATGGACAGCACAAGGTCTCTGGGGTGGAAGAGGCAGGGAAGAGCACATTGGCCTCTTCTCGAGGAGGGCTTTGGGGGTGCATTAAGAATCTGGGGTGGTGGTGGTAAGAGTTCATTTGAGTTAAATGGAGTTTGCAACCTGAGCTATATTGGGCCAGGGAGTCTCTCATATTAGCCTGGGGAAGCACAACAGGTTTACAAATTAAGATGGGGTAGACTTAAATATTTGGCTGGGCTACAGGGGGTGGCACAGTGTTTTCTTTTTCCTCAAAGTGAGCATGTCTAGGGTTGCAATAATTCCATTGTTTGAGACAAAGCTATGTCGGTCCCATCATACTTTGCCACCTTGTGTGTGTTGACTTCATTTTTTTTTTCGTTCTTGGGGCTTGTGTTTACTTTTTTGTTTTAAAAACACTATTTCTAGCACTTACGAGAATTAAGCTGTGACTTTTATACAACCTGCCAGGTATGGTGATCTGTTCCCTTTCTTTCTTTCTTTTTTTTTTCTTCCATGCTCACGTAGTGGATTTAGCAGAAAATTCCCTTTTAAACAAGCTTATCCGGAAGTCTCTGGTAGAATCCAATCATCATGTTGAAGTCCTGCAGCGAGATCCCAGCTCCCCTCTCTTCTCAGTAAAAACCTTTGAAGAACTGCATCTGTGAGTAACTGGGACAGAACTACACACTGAAAAAGGGCAGTCAGGTCAATGGGCCAGTAGTAATTACGTGGGGGTTTGTCATGTTCTGTCACGCAATCTCCTTTGAATTTGGGAGTGATAGTACAATACAGTAAAAATCAAATACAGTTAAATGGGGAAGACACGCAGACATACATTGAAGGATTCATCCGTTCCACAGTAGTGTGATCTTGTGAGACTAACATGTCCTGGTACCATATCCAAAAAACACATTGAAACACGATTGTAATCCACCCATATTTTAACACTGATTTTTAGATGCCATAGCTATAGACACCTTAAAGAGTTTTTTTTTTCTTGCCAGTATGGAAAGGAAAAACAATCTATAGCTATAATGAAAACTGTTTTTAATGTTGGTAAATATATAGACTAAAATAGTTCCTAAACATGGTTTAAGCATGTCAGTCTTTCCACACAACTATGATCCGACCATATTACAACATGGATTTTCACTGATGTTTCCTAACCACGTTTAAACATGGTTATTTTTGTGGTGTACCCAGGCCCTGATTAGGATTAGATGCAAGATTTCCAAGGGAAACCTGAAGGTGTATAGGAAACGATGGTGTTATGCCAACAGATGAGTCTTCCTTCTGTCTGCTGGACTAGAGCCACAGCAAGGAACAGTTAGAACACGTCTAAATAAGCTTTAAAACCAAAACATGCTGATAATATGCTGCAAAAGATCTTGTAGTGATACCTCTCCCAAGAGCATGTGTGGTACCTGTGACAGTGTGTTGGGTTTGGTCAATATTTTATATTTCCTAATAGAAGATGGATTGGGCAATAATTTGTTTCATGGTAAAGGACATAAAATAAATGGGAAAAGGTCACACCTAATTGCTTTCCTTAACAGAATTGGGGATTGGTTGAATACAGCAAGTGGGGCTAAGATGTTTAGCATGTGAGAGACGGATATCAAACATTGGTAAAGCATCTTTGTATCCTCAGTGGCCCATCTCTTAAAGAATGCAGAGTCCCCCAAACCCTACTGAGTGCGTGAGTAATTGGATAAAACTGGTTTGGAAGGTAGGGTGGCAACCCTGGATTGTGGTTGGGGTTACCCCATCTATCTCTCTGGACTTGACAGCAGGGGCTGACTCTGACAAGAGACTGTCAGACAGAACAGGTCTTGCTTTTTAGACATTAAGATCGTTTTTCCTCTGACTCAACTGAGAATGTCCTATCCAGTTCAGCTAGATAGGTTAAGCTAACCATCGCTTTTGTTTTAACTCCATTTTCTCTTGGCTTTTAATAAACCTTGTTTTTGTTACAAATACTCTTTTATCAGTAATTTCACATGCCTGAATGTCCTACTCAAGTTCCCGGACTGGAAAAAAAGACATGAGAAAAATCCCGTAACACATTTTATTTAGTAGGATTTGGAAATCTAATCATAGATATGTTATGACCATATCTCAGATGAGGGTACACGGTAGACTGCATTCTTTGGAAAGGAGTATGCAGCCTAAAACATTTTGAAAGCACTGTCCTAGGGCATCTCATCACTTGCTTGTAAATAGTTTGATTTTTTCCTGGTTTGGCAGGAAGAAAGAGTTATTACAGGGGATTTATGAAATGGGTTTCAACAGACCATCCAAGATACAGGAGACAGCGCTTCCTATGATGCTAGCTGACCCGTGAGTACTTGCAAAACAAGGTGTAAAACATGCTATTTGCATTTGTTCATTATTTTCATATTTCTGCCATTCTGGTCATAGGCATGGTTTGACTTCTATATTTGGGGGGGCAGGGCCTGGCAGAGCAGGGCCAGCTCCACATGGAGGGGACCGAAGAGGGAGCGCCACCTCCACCCCAGCTCACCTCAGCAGTCCACCCAGCCTGTCTGAGTTTGAGGGAGGGGTAGGGTGCAATAAAAAATTATAACTCTGGGGGGTGGGGGGGGGCAACTCAAAAAGTTTGAAAACAGATCAGGGTGCAGGGAGCGGATAACCGGGGGTAGCTCAGGGTGCAGGCAGAGGATAGCTCAGGGCTGTGTGCTGGGAGGCCCCCTCCCCCCCCCCGTGGTCACTGTTCCCAGAGGGCTCTTCCAGTCCTGCAGCTGAGTTCCCCTGCCCAGGCAGCTCTTACCAGCTGTATGAACAGTCAAAGGGGGCTGGGGGCTGAGGAGCACCAGCAGGAGGAGGGGGGAGCCTCCGTGGCACCAGCCAGAGCAGCAGCCACCCTGCACTGCCTGGCTCCAGCTTCCCGCCTCTGACCTGGAGTGGGGTATCGGAGGGGTGTGTGTGGAGCTGCCCCCCTCTGCTTATGGCATTGCAGTTTGGGAGGGCAAGCCCCCCCATGTCTCCCCCAGACTCTTCCAATGCTTCTGGTTCTCCTTCTCCCTGGCTGATCATACCTGCAATGCTTAATCTCCTTCCCTGACTCCTTATGTCTTGGTGTCACACTAGATTCCATTCAGTTTTTCCCATGGCGTAGTTTGGAGAGGAGTGGGGGGGGCATTGCCCTCCCGCAAATTGCAAGCTTTGGGTGACACACGGGGGGAGGGGGGACAGATTTCTGCCTTCCATTTGGCCTTGCTCCCTCCCCAAGCAAGCCCTGCTGCGCGGGACAGGCCCAAGCCCTCCTAGGGGAGCACGGAGGAATGTTTGGGCGGGGCTGGGGGAGCAGTGACATCAGGTGCTCTACGTGGCCAGGTCACTTTCCTCATGCAGGCTGCCTGCACAGCCTGGCCTCGCAACAGCAATATCCCCTCGGACACAGCCCCTCCCTGCAGCCTGAGCTACAGTCCTCCTGGCACATAGCTCCTACCTACCCGCTGCCTGTACCTGGAGCTACACCCCTGCCAGCAGCACACAGCCTCTAGCTCCCCCCTCCCTACACCTTAAGGGGTTTTCAAACTTTTTGAGCTGAGGCCCTCCTTTTAGTTATAATTTTTGGTTGCATGTCCCTCTCCACCGCCAACCCAGAGAGTTTGGGTGGCCTTCTGAAGTGAGTCAGGGGATGGAGGTGCTGCTCTGTCCTGGGGCCTTGCCGTGTGTAGTTGGCCAGAGCCTCACAGAGTTGTTCAGGACCCCCTGCCTGCATAGTCTCCAGCTGCTGGCTGTCCCAGGTATGTCTACGTGGAAATAAAAGCCCTGCAGCAAGGCCATGGCTGGCCCAGGTCATCTGATTTGGGCTTGTGGGGCTCAGGCTGTGGAGATAAATATCACTGTGTGGATGTTCAGCCTCGGGTTGGAGCCTGAGCTCTGGGACTCTCCACCCATGCAGGGGTCCCAGAGCTCGGGCTCCAACCCGGGCCAGAATGTTTACACAGCAGTTTTTCAGCCCCTGAGCCCTAAAAGCCTGAGTCAGCTGACCCTCCCAGACCCACGATCTCAGTTAGACATTAACTCTTTCCTTCTCTCCACATCAGGAGTCTAAACACTTGTCATTATCTTCTTAATATCTCCAAAATCTGCCCATTTCTCACTTTGACCACTATAACCCTCTCCTGTTTGACCTTTCTGCCGATCACCTTTTCCCATCCTCTAGCCTGTCCAAAATGCTGCTGCCAACGTAATCTTCCTCTCATCCTGCTTTGACTGTGTCATCTACTCCTGAGGGTATTCTGGGCCAAAACAATTAAAATTCTGCACACACTATTTTAAAATTATACAAAATTCTGTCAACAAATTTGTCAATAAATAAACGTGGAGGCTCCAGCATGCAGTGGGGAGCACAGCCACTGACTGCACAGAGGTAGATCACCCTGTGCCTGCCCTCCCACGGACATGGACTCGGTGGTAAAGTTGCACCCGACACTGATACAACGCAAGGACTGGGACTGTCCAAAAAACACCCCTGGGCTCTGCCCCTCCATGCCAAGCACACTAGATGTAGGCAGGCAGGCTCAGCCTAGCAGGATCCAAGTATGGGGGGAGCGCTTAGTGTAGGGAGATCCAGGCGTGGGGCAATAGGGTTCTGTGTGGGGCGATCTGGGTGCGGGCGGCTTGGTGGGGGGTCCAGGTGCAAGGGAGATCTGGATGAACGGGCTTTTGGGGGAGGGGTGTTTCTGGGTGCAATCACAGTGGGACTCTGCAGGGGTGTCCAGGTCAAGTATCAGAGGGGTAGCCATGTTAGTCTGTATCCACAGGTGCTCTATGCGTCCAGGTCAGTCCAGGTAAAGGTGGTTGGAGCTCAGCGGGTGGGAGGGGGTAAGGGGTCCAGGTGCTGGCTTGGTAGGGTGCGGTTCCGGCTGCTGGCTTGGTGCGGTTCAATAGGGTGGGAGT